CTTGCAACTTTGCTTTGTCATGAGCCATGCTCTGTTTACAGCTTTCTTGCTGGCGTTTTGATCGAGATTCAACTTATCATTATCTGGTGTGTTTCTTTTACATCCTCTCCAATAGACAAAAGCAAATTCGGGCAAACTGCCGAAGCTACAACAAACTACAAAAAAAACTTTGAACTGTGCGATAAAGTGGTCAATGACGGAAGCACATCACATATACAGACCAAACTGGGCTTACATTTTCGGTTGCTGACCGAATAGTATTCGAATTAATAAAAACGTTGAATCAGCGCGGTTCGTAGGTGTTTGTAACTTTCACCACTTAAACCGGGCTAAGCTATGTTCGAATGGAACTAGCTGGATAGCCCCACGAACGGATGGGGGTTTTATACTGTAGTTGCTTGGTATCTGTGCAAGTATCATCACAAATTTGGAGTGTACGTTCATTTGATTTTTGTATTTGCCCTTTCGTGGTACAAGAGCTCATTTGTCTCCCTGCAAAGTGCTGGTGCAGAAAACAATTGGAATCAGCCTCTAAAGGGCATTTTTTTAGCCTTTTTTACAAAATTTCAAAATACTTTGGACCGTCTTGTGTAACATAGCAAATGCAGCTGAATGTGTAATTATCTTGCAATACTTCAACCAAGTAATATTCGCGTTCCTTATTGCATCACATCCTATCTTCAATGCACTATTACAAAAGATTGTCCAATACATATATCGTGAAATTGTAAAAGGGCAAAACAAATACGCTGTTTTGGAAGCAAATGACCTGTCTTTGTAAACAATAGTTGCCCAAGATGCTCAGAAAGCATTTAAACAGCGTAATTATGTCAGTTACAACGGCAAGTGTCTGGCAGTTAATAGGAGAACCACGTGGGGTCGAAGTTCAGCAGGTCATCCACGAATGACTCCTGCGGTGCTATCTCTAAAATAACATGGCAGAGAGCACTCTCGACGACTCGTACCGTCTAAAATGGAATTAAGTTATGAGTGATAAACGTAAGGAACCGCGATATTTGCGCTTTCGATCCGTAATATGGAAATTGAATCTATCTCTGGTCTCCATTGCGCTCTCTACTTTCTCGACTGCTTGCATCGT